TCAGAGCTCAAAGGCACCAACTTTCAGTTCTCTGAAAATGAGCTATGAACTTATACGGGCCCCTGTAACTAAAATAAAAGCCAGAGGGAGAGATTGCAGGCGAGCTTTTAGGTTAAATCAGGAGAGACGGTGTTGGCAGTGGTTTCTGCGTGGGGAAACTGGAGTAGAGGGATGTGGGTAAGGGAGCCCACTTAGATAGGTTCTGATCCTGGTTCTGTTAGTGACAAGCTGAATGATCTTCAACAAGGCAATTAAACTCTGGTTTCTTATCTCTAAAAAAAAAAAAAGATTATAAGGAATTTGGTGAAGGGACCACAGATCTACCATGGTTAGTATGGGGAAAAAATTGTTGGAAGAGATAAGGAGACAGTAAATGATGTGGAAAGATCCTAAAGCAGAGAGAGTGTGGTAGGGAGACATTCTGTGAAACAAATCACCAAAAGAATTTGTTCTGTGTGACTGAAGAACAAAAGAGAACTTGATGAAAGTAAGATGGTGGGGCAGTGAGGGTGGGAGTGGTGGGAGGTGGAATTAGCAGAATGTCAACATCTAAGTTTACTTATATTTTTATTTATTTACGTCTTAATTTGCTTTGGTGACCCTCGTGACTTAGCTCAGACGTGCGGACAGAAACAGTAACGGTACCTAGCTCCCTTCACTTAGGGAAGGACTCGTGAGCTAATCTGATAAAAGGTCCCTTCCGTTCCTTCCTGTTTTATTAGTCATGTTTATTAGCTTGATGGAGAAAACCATAATTTGCATTTTCTATCAAATCACACCAGCAGCAGCTGAATGACATGGCCACTAATTAAAAGCAGAAATTGAACACAGCAGATTTGTTCTTTTGTTAGGCTGAAGAAACAACAGTAGGCTTGTGTTGACCTCTTGTTGAAAGGTGCACATCATAGATGTCTTAGTGGAAGAGTTTCATCAGTCAGTTTGGCCAACTTGTTTTGTCTTCACCTTCTCCAGTATATTTCTGGAAACTAGCCAGTTAGATTTAGCCCTGTGTTCTCTGCCCTCTCTGAGGGCAAAGAGTATTTTTTTTTTTTTGATGGTGTATCGATGGTATAGCTTAGTAATTAGGAAGCTGGGATTTGGAATCATATGACTTCGTTTCCATCCAAGCTCTTCCCTCCTGCTAGCTCCGTGACCTTGGGCTGGCTGCTTACCTCTCTAAGCATCAGTTTACTTATCTATAAAATGGAACCATAATAAGACCTACTTTATAAAGTTATTGTGAGGATTAAATCAGATAGTTTGTATACATCTAAGCCTAGGACTTGACACATGGTAAGAAGTTATCAAATATGAATTATTATTGCTATTTCAGCTTAACTGGCTCCATTTTGTACTAAGTTATTTGGGAACTGAGTTCCAAAATCTTGGTTTAGTAGTTCCCCAGTGATAAGGACTATGTCTTATTCATCTCTGAATATATGTGCCTGGCATGTGAATGCTGTTTTATTGGCACATATACATCCAAAGGACTAAAATTTTATTCTATTATGTAAGTAATCAGTCATTTTTTTTTGTGGGTTGATTTTGTTCAGGATATTGCCAAGGTTTCAAATTACCATGGTCATAATTTAAGCAGCTGTAGGAATTACCATGTCACAGCAGTAGTTGTTGGCCTTCTTTCCCCAAGGGGACATGCTCCATGTACAGCATCCTCCAGGCGACATACTCGGCACCAGGAGCCACTCTCCAGAATATGAGCTGTGACTCCCTCCACTTCTCCTTCACTTAGGGATATAAGTTATTATGCAGATAAGAGTGACCCAGTGAGAGGATAATCATGAATCCATCCTAAATTTTTTTTAATCATTATTCTTTTCACTGTCTTTGTTATTATTGTGTTATGTAGTGACTAGATCAAACTTCTTCAATTAATTCTTCGAATTCTTTAGAATTCTTCCAGGTCAGCACTTTTATTCCTCACTACTTCCTGTCCAGTTAGTTACCACTATCCCTTCTGTGAAATTGGCTGTTCCCTTGGTTTCCATGATACCAGTATTGCTCCGGTACTCCCTGCTCAGCCAAAAGTGGTCTTCAAAGGCTGGCAGTGACCAGTCCTCATGCTCTTATCCCCTAAGCAACGTTCAGTAGTACCACTATGCCCTCCACTAAGTTTCTGTTCCCTTGGTCTCCCTGACACCGAGAACTATCTTGGTCTTCCCCTTGGCCCTCTAACCACTTCCAGCTCCAATGATGTGCCTCTTCTGTTTTACCTAAGCCTGATCTGGGGATTCTCCGGGGATTTTTTCCTAGGCTCTCTTATACTCTCTTCTATTTTTCCTTCCATGGTAATATCCATTTTCAGTACTTTAACCACCACTCTTGTATCTATAACTTCCACATATTTTTCTCCTGGTTGAACTCCCTATCCATCTCTGATCTCATGATTCAAATACTGCCAGACCATTTGGAAGTTCATTCGGCAGCTCAGATTCAATATGCCAAAAATATTTATTATCTTTACACTAAAACCAACTCCTTAATGATTTTTGGTTAGCGTCTATCACACTTCTCTTACGCTGACTTAAAAACCTTTGAGTTAATTCTGGTACTTCTCTTTATGTCTGCCTTTCTTTATTATTATTATTTTTTAATCTACCTTTCATTACAACAAAACTGTTCAGTGTTGCCTAGACCTACCTCTGCACTGTCTTTGAAGCCCTCTGTTTTCTACTTCCTCTGAATGGTATTCCCCGGCTGTAGATACAATGAAGAACATTATACCAACTTCACAGTAAAACTAATTATTAGTACAGGGATGAAGAAGTAAAGGAGATACATACCAGGGAAGAGAGGACAGGGAAGAATTCTTAGAGGGGGTGACATAATGTGTGTGAACCAAATCTTGAATGGTGACCAGGAGTCAGATGGACAAGTCAGGATGAACATTCTGGAAATGATAACATGTGAAAAAGAATGCCAAGCAAGAAGGCCGTGACTCATTGTTGAAGTGCAGGTAGCTTTGTGAGGCTGGAGCTCTGGCTTCCTGGGGCAAGAAAGTCGGGGAAACAGACGGTAGCGCTCCCGAGGTGGTAAGAGTGGAGGGAGGGCACTTAGGGCCTTGTTCCAGTTACCACTTGCTGCATAACAAACCACCCCAAGCTTCCTGCCCTGAAACAACACAGCCATTGATTATTTCTTACAGGTCTCCAACTGGGCAGTGATCTCTGGGGATGGCTCATCTCTGCTCCATGCGATGTAGACTGGCACTGCCCTGTTGGGGCTAGAGGATCCAGAACCTCGCTCAGTGTCTGCTCTTTCAGCTGAGGCAGCAGTGGATGGCTGGGTCTCTCTTTTTCTTTTCACATGTCCCCTCAGTCTTCAGTAGTCTGACTTGGGGTTCTTAACATGGAAGCTGTATCCTAAGAGGGCAGAAAATGGAAGCCACAGAGCTTTTTAAGGCTTAGGCCCAGAAGTCACATGACATCTCTCCACCTACATTCTATTGGTCAAAGTGAATCACAAGACCAGCGCAGCTTCCAGAAAAAGAGAATAGATCCCACCTCCCTTTGGGAGGAGCAGCCTGAATGTAGACAGCTGTGAGGAAAGGTTGGCCATCTTTGTAGATGGTGGACCATAGGCCTTACAGATCACTGCATTCTAAGGGTACCATTCTACAGGGTACCATTAATTAATAGGGTAGGATTTTAAGCAGCAGACTGATATTTTACTTATGTGTTTAAAAATATCTCTTAGGCGCCTTCGTAAAGATTGAATTCAGGGGTCGGGGCCAGTACCTGGGAACAGAGCAGTCTACAAATCTACTTAGGCAGCCTCTGCCAACATGTTACAGGTTAACCTCAGGAGAGTCTTTTTCATAGGTTCGCATGCCTTACCACAATTTTTCCTCCTCATGGAAGCAAAAGGAATGCCTTTTTCTTAAAAACAAGATGCTGCCAAGGAATCTGCCCAGGACCCTGTCTAAGGGCCCAGTGCCCCTTCCAGAAAGATGGATTCATGTCTGCCATGGGGGAGGAAGTATGTAATACCACAGATGTTCTGCTTAATGCTTTTTCGTTTAGAAATAATGCTTCTTGCTTATTGTATGTTACTTTTTCTATAGATAAGAAAACCAGGAAAGTCAGATGAGACTTTGCGGAGGGCGGAAGCCTGCTTTGCAGAAGCCAGGGGCTTGTCCTGCGTCAGAGCATGCAGATTACATGACCATAAAGCCTACACGGGCATTTAGTTCTATGCAAAATAAACCCTTTGTCTCTTGCCTCTAATCTCCACTACAGTGGTCTGTAGGGTGAGCGCCTATAAAAAAGCCATGGAAAATATTTACAGGATTGGAAAAGTATCACACCACCTCAGTCATTAAATTTCCTTTGTGAAGAACAGCTTTAATGTATCAGCAACTGTAACTTGAGCAGAAGAGGGCAGAGACTATTGCTCACCAACGCTTGTTAGAGTAAACCAAGGCTCAAAATCTGGAAGTGGTGAGGAGATGGTCCTTCTAGATTTTGAGGGGTTTGTGTAGCTCCTTCACCTAAGTGTTTCTAGAGCCAAGATTTCAGTCAATGAAGGAAAAAAATCTCCCTTTTTTGGTGCAGTAACCTGAGGACCAGGTGGGAATATGGTCCCGCTTGGTCAGTGTTCAGGTTCTCTCTCAGGCTTCTGAACACTTAGTTCACACCGTGATGGACATCAGGATGATGTTAATTTCCCCCCCAGGCTCCAGACACAGTGGGTGGAAGCCAGGATCACGTGGAGAGATTTGGTCTCAAATCCCAGCTTTGCCACTTCCTCGTTCTGTGGCTCTGAGCAAATTCCTTAACCGCTGTAAATTCTGGCTTCTTCCTCTGCAAAACCTCAGTAATAACTGCACCTTCCTGGTAGGATTGCTGTGGTGGATTAAGAGAAATACTGCTTATTGCGCTTAGCCTAGTGAATGGCACAAGCGCTCGATAAATTTTAAGTGATTGTTCTAACGACATTCTGCTGATCTTTGCTGTGTTTCTCTTTATTTCTCAGGGAGATGTTAATCTCTGTGGCTCTAGGCCAGGTGTTATCCCTCCTTATCTGTGGAATTAGCTTGACCAGCAAGTACCTGTCAGAAGATTTCCATGCCAATACACCAGTCTTCCAGAGTTTCCTCAATTACATCCTCCTCTTCTTGGTCTATACCACCACACTAGCTGTCAGACAAGGTAAGCTTGCAAAACCCCAAGAATATAGCTTCGTTTCTCTTTTATAAACATCTGCAAGAATGATGAGCCATGACTGGATTAACTTTTTTCACTTACAGCATCATAAGACAGTTTGAAACCCCAAACCTCACTTTTCTATTTTACAGTAATACAGCAAACAAAATGAATGAGTAAATCACAAAGAAGCATAAATTGTGTGAATTCAGCGGAAAGTGAGAAATGCTTGTGTAGGCAGAAATGTATAATTGCTCACTATTTGAATTCCTGTTAACATGCCTTGTCCTCCTCAGTGACTCTAAATAGAGTGCTTCTGTGGAACCTTGAATAGGTCTGATGAAGCTGTCCTAAATGACGGTAGCCCTGAGAAATCCAAGGAGATGACAGACAAATGCATGTTCTTTGGGAGAAAGATAAAAATGTTAAACACAAATAACTCTAGTAATAAAAAGGGGAAAAGAAAGAAAAGAAAGCTACCATAAATAGTCATGTGAGATGTTCTGTCTAAATTTAAAATAGGTAAAGCAATAAAACAAGTCCTCCAAGGGTCAGTGCAAGAAAGACTTATTAAGGGGCAACTGCAGTTGAACTCCTTGGGGTATATCTTTGGAGGGTGTTCTTCAGAGACTTATGATTATACCATTGAATCTGGTGTAAACACTCTTATCTATGACCCAGAAATATCCAGCAATCTTCCCCCAATAGCAGCTGTTAGCTGTGAAATATACATTGAAAAATAATCATTAAGGGGTTTGAAGATAATCATATCCCTGAGTAATGAGTGAAGATACATGAATAGCTGTATACATCAATCCTAGTAGTCATGTTTTTTTTTTAAATTTTGCTAAGAACTGTATATCAACATTTAATTTTTACATTTCTTTATTTGGTTTGTTGTCCAGAATAATATTACTTAATTATAATGAATTGACCAGGACTAGATTTTTGTCTTAGGGGGAAAGTAAATGAAAATGAACAAGTAGGACTGAATTCCAATTTGACCGGGGATTTGTTTAAAGTACTGGAGAAGCTGATTTCATTTACTTCTCAAAAACTGATGTTATTGGTGTCTGTTTTTAAAAATTTAACGTCAGTAAACATAATTAATTTAAGAATAAAATTTCAAGTAAAACCTCAGGCTACAGAAGTTACAGACATTGAGTCTCAACTGTATTTCCTCAGTGTGACTTGGAAGCTAATGATTTTGAATGCTAACAAACGCATTATCTAAACAGTATGACATGCCATGTCACCACTGGTACTTCAACCAAGGAAAAGACTCCAGAGAGTGAGGCAACGGGGGAGGCATATAATTAGAGATTTTCTTATGAGAGAGTTAACATGAGGAATGTATAGTTTGGTCATATCAAAAAGAGACAGCCATGCAGCTCAGCTTAAAGATCACCTATGAAAGCTTCAATTAATAGTTTAGAATTTTTAAAGAATAGAATTGTTTAGCCCTGTACAAGGATTATAATTATAAATAGTAAGAGTAAATTAAGAACAATTTTGCAGCACTCTAATATAACAACAACAACAACAAAATCACATGAAACTGGTGAATTTATCTTCTCTAGGGATTTTTAGAATCAAACTGTCCAGACTACAGGATGGTGAACTGTAACTGGTCGTCGGGTTCTTGTCAGTCTTACTTTTCAGGAGCCCAGAGATTTAACAAAAACCCGCATCAGAGAAAATAAAATAAAATCAAGCCATTCTAAGAAGCAGAATAATTTCCCTGTTACAAGTAGAAACAGAAAATCTTAGAAAACTAAATGTAGAAAAAGACCCGAAGTTAATAACAACACCCTCTGTTGGGGCTTTGTAATGTGCCAGCCACTGTGTGTGTGCATTACCTCCTTGATTCCTGCAAGCTAATGAAATCAGTATTATTATCCAAAAATTCTATGAATGAGAAAACGGAGGCTCCCCCAGCATCAGGACCCTTCTCCAGGCTACAGAACTAGGACGTGTAGAGGCCCACCCTAGGCCAGGGCTGTGTGCCTTCATGGCCCAGCCTGCCCACCCATGTGAGGTCTGGGGGAGGTGAGAGGGGGAAAGGGAGACACTTCTGAACAAAAGGAGGGATTTTTCCCTTAAATTTCAAAACTCTGAATAAGAAACCAGCCCAGGGTGTGAGGTCTAGTGAGGCACAGCCATGGGATCAGGTGGATGTGGTCGTAGAGGGTGCAGGGAGTCGGTGGGGAGGGTGGACAGAGCAGAGGCACAATTGGAAAGAGGCCAAGGACTAGAAGCAGTGAGGAACTCAGAGGCTCTTTGGAAGGAAAAGACTGAGGAGGATCAGAGAAAATTCTGTCATCGCAGTCAGTGATGGAGAGAATCAATTTCTAAAATGCCCTATCCAGTAATTTCCCCCATTGCCTCAGATTGTCACTAAATTTGCTGGCATGTCTTTTATTTGGGTGTTTACTTAGATTATTTGTTTGTTTTAGGCTTCATCTTTAGAAGTTTTAATAAGCTGGCATTAAGCTAACATCTGGAAATCAACATGGTAATTACATTAATTTTGTATAGGCTGATTCAGTGCTATGTTCTAGAGACATAGTAATCTCTTTCCTCGTGCACCTCAAGATTTGAGAGGGAATGAACAGAGCAAAGAGGAGATGAGGATGGAAAATGTGGTGTGTGAGGGAGGTGCTCTCGTAGCCACATTTTATCCTCCCTTCCTGGTGTTCCCTGACTACTCTTTCAGGAGGGCTGCAGGTTAGGATGGAGCAACATGCTGGCCTTCCCAATTCTTCCAGCACAGACATCACTGACCTTGCATAACCACCATATTAATTTGATGCCACCTTAGGCTACATAACAGCAAGAAGTTAGACTCAGGAAAATATTTTTAAACAAATCTTTCTTTATAATTTTAATCATACGACTTCTAAAAATGTATGATCGTCACATGTAAACAGAATGTGATAAATCTAAGAAGCCTTTCAAGAGCATTAAAGGGTAACGTTATTGCAAAAGCTTTGTGGAAATTTGACTTCAGGAAATTTGAATTCTCTTTATCAAATTTGCTTTGGACCAAAGATCAAAGGGTCTGAAGCAGCAAGTTGCAGTATAAGTTTCAGTATAACTCCAGTTCAAACTAGAGTTTTGAACTTGTCCCTAATTTTTAATTGGTTCCTACAAAAATTTGTAGGAAACCAAAAATTGGTTCCTACAAAGACCATCCTCCTTAAAAAAAAAATTGTATCTTGTAGAACAAGTTTTAAGGATAGTGCCTCTCCTGGATTGGAGCTAGGGTTTTTATTCTAGATGGTTCTAAAAGTTTTAAAAATCTTACTGTTTATAGTAACGAGCTTCATTAATACAACTTTGTAGGAAAAAAATATACTTCAAAAAAGTAGTTCCATTGACACTGTATCAAATTTGAGAATTTAGATGAAATTTAGATAGCTGGTACTTGGTTAGTTGTAACCACTTTTGAGAAGTTACTCAGACAATTAAAATATACCCATTGAAGTATGTCTGAAATCCAAACTCAGGCTGTATGTACAAAGTAGAGCTTCAGGAATTGCAAAGAAGAACTTCTTTCTCCTCCTGTCTTTCTCCTGTACTCTCACACTACTACCACGCTACAACCAGATGCGGTGAGGAGGGGGAGAGTTCCCCACACCACGTAATTCTGTGACACCAGCTGAGTGTCCTACAATTTAACTCAGTTCTGACAGTTCCACCTGGAGATGGATAGAGGTTATCACCGTTGCTTCTGACGTACCTGCTATTGATCAGAAGTTTCCATGAACCCCTCAGATTCATGGAATTGGTTTGGTTAATTTGCTAAAGCAGCTCCCAGGACTCAGGAAAACAGTTTATTTACTGTTTACCAGTTAATTACAAAAGGATATGATAAAGGATCTAGATGTACATTCAGATGGAAGAGACAAGTAGGGCAAGGTATATGGCAAGGAACACGGAGCCTCCGTGCCCTCTCTGGGTACACCACTCTCAGCATCTCCATGTCACGTGTTCGCCAACCCCAAAGCTCTCCAAACCTCATTGGAATTTTTATGGAGGCTTCATTAGGTAGGCACAAGCATTAACTTCACTTCCAGCCCATCTCCCCTCTCTGGAGAATGGGAAGGTGAGGCCAAAAACCCCAAGCTTCTAATCATCGTGTGGTCTTTCTGGTGACCAACCCCATCCAAGAACCCACCGAGAGTCACCTCATTATAACAAAAACAATTTCCTATCACCCTGGAAATTCTAAAGATTTAGGAACTCTTTGTCAGGAACCAGGGTCAAAGACCAAATATTAGAACAAAAGATTCACCTAATTTTCCTATCACTTAAGAAATTACAAGGATTTTAGGAGCCAGAAACCAGGGACAGTAACTGGTATACATATTTTTTCTATTATCTCACAGGTATATAACTAAGAAAATATAGTGAAGCTTCCAAAAACTTATGGATTTGCCTAGGAAATTCTCAAGAGAAGTTTCTCCCTCATGTCTGCTTTTTCCTTAAAATTCCATGTAATATCAGCCGAAATAGGGAAGCAGAGAAACACAAGAAGCAGAAGACTATAAACAAGAGGAAAGAGCAGGCTGGGGATTCAACTAAAGACGGCTCAGTTCTTGCATTTGTGATGTAGAAGCAAAACATGTGATAGGCTTTTAAGACAAGGGTGAAATAGGATATATTTCTTATCAAGGAAAATTATGTCATCAAACTTTTTACCCATAAGCTTCTTTTCTCAATTATTACAAGAATCCTTCTGATTCCCAGAACTGCTTTCAGTGGTTGTTAAATAACTGATACCCAAGCTTCCTCTTTTGGCAGTTTTTACTTCTGAATGTATATAAACCACAAAACTTGTAAGTAGTCAGTGATTTCCTCCTCCTTTTCTTCTGCCAGTTTTTCTCAGTTCTTGTCGTTCCGATTTCTTTTTGTTTTCCCATCAACAAGTTGCTCAGTGATGGGAGTGGTAAGGATTGTGAGGCAAAGGCAGGATGGATGCTGAGAGTGAAAAGAAAACACTT